CAGGCGGCCCCGTCCAGGAAACACACAGCCAGGCAGACGAGCTCCGAGCCAGCTCCCATGTCAGAGGATGAAGAGAGCACATCCAGTTAGTCACAGTCAGAGAAACAGGACTACACTGGAAAACAGGCCAAGCTCCAACATCTAGAAACAAAGGTGTTGATGGCTAAGATAATGACTGCATCCTCTCTTAATGAAGCTACATCACTCTTTCATCCACGTCACAGACACACCCACATCCACCCAGGAGGTGATCTGTGGGAAAATAAAACATCTTAAGCAGCAAATCATAAAGACAAGCAGTCCTAGAACGCATGATTCAATCAGTCCTGTTCACATCTGAGCAAAATGGATAATTTTAGATGAAAATTTCACTCTGATTCAGCTCCTGCTTGCCCTTTATCCAGCTAACTTGGAGCCTAAAAGCAGCAGAGAAAACTGGCTCCTAACTACTCCAACATCTGTGACCACAGACCTTCATCATGTTGGAGCTGGTACAGCTGGGTGCCTCCATGTTTTCGTTGAGTTCTGACACCAAAGCAGCAGGTGTGGGCCCAGTCCGGGTCGGTATGCGGTGAGCAAACGGTCTGGCTCTGCAGACGGGGGTTCTGCAGGATGGAAAACGGTGCCAGCACTTTTTAGCAGGACTTGGTCTAAAACGGGTCATCAAATCTAAGTGGGTCTGAGATGTTTCTGGTGATTTACTCACCACACATCTGGAACTGGTCTGGTACCAGTTCTGACAGAATTGGGCCAACGTTGGGCTTTCTTGGGGAATAAAAGATGACTGCAGAATCACACAGAACCACTAAAGACCCGTCACAATAAAATGTTCATGTGTGCAAACCTCCCAGAAAAGTAGAATTAGGGGATATTTTGATGAGAACAGAAACATATGAAGAGAATCTGCTGGTTTATCAGAAGTGATCCGTTTGTCTGCCTTTGTTGGTTAATTCTTATTTATCAATGTAACAAAAACAGAAACAATCAGTCAAATTCACTAAATACATTCAGATTTTATTGCTTGCTCTACATGAGACGCGTATATTTGAAATGGAAAGAATGACTTTAATACTAGAAACCATCCGATGACCACAAACACGGTCTACATCATCCCTGGCAGCGCCATGTGAACGCCTGTCAGAGTCACAAATGAAGGGTTTCTGTTTCTCCAGAGCGAGACCAGCGCTGGTGGTCGAACGCGCCGCTCAACAGTCCTGCAAAGAACAGGATTGGAAGCAATCAGAGACGCAGCTCAGAGCCATGTCTAAGAAATGCACTGATAGACCCGTTTCCATGAAGTCCACCAGGATGTAAAAAAGATTAAATTCAGCAAGATCAGAAAGTAGAAGCAGCAGACTGCAGGCTAGCTACCTGAGCAGCCTAACCAGTGGAAAAGAATAAGATCAGAAGGTTAGACCTCCAGCTTTACTCCATGTAGATCAGAAGAGGACGAAGCCAGACGGGAGCATATCTACTGACCTGTACCTTCTCATTAAAATATATCTGGATCCTGTTAAACTACCTGCACTATCAGACCTCTGGAGGACATAGGGACCCCTTTTTCATCATCCTGCTTCATTCTATCTCTATAGTTGTGCTGCTATAGGCTTAGACTGCTGGAGGACATAGGGACCCCTTTTTCATCATTCTGCTTCATTCTATCTCTATAGTTCTGCTGCTATAGGCTTAGACTGCTGGAGGACATAGGGACCCCTTTTTCATCATTCTGCTTCATTCTATCTCTATAGTTCTGCTGCTATAGGCTTAGACTGCTGGAGGACATAGGGAGCCCTTTTTCATCATTCTGCTTCATTCTATCTCTATTCTCCCACTCTGCAGAATCTGTTAGTTCAATCTCTAACGTTCTGCTCTCTCTGCTTTTTCTCATAGTAGCTTCATCTGGTCTGTTCCTGTTTGGCTGTGACTCCATCCTGGAGAGAAATATCAGCTGTGCTGCTGCCATCAACACCTTTGTTTCTAGATGTTGGAGCTTGGCCTGTTTTCCAGTGTAGTCCTGTTTCTCTGACTGTGACTAACTGGATGTGCTCTCTTCATCCTCTGACATGGGAGCTGGCTCGGAGCTCGTCTGCCTGGCTGTGTGTTTCCTGGACGGGGCCGCCTGTGGAGCTGGTTGACAGTTGCCTTTTGTATCTATGCTTCTTTTTCTATGTCTGCTTCTGTCTCCTTGAACCCCAGTGGGCCTCGGCAGATGGCAGCTCACACTGAGCCTGGTTCTGCTGGAGGTTTCTTCCTGTTCAAAGGGAGTCTTTCCTCTCCACTGTCGCTACAAGCATGCTTAGTGTGAGGGATTGCTGAAGAGTCAATGAGTCGATGCAATCAGCTGGTTTTCCTTAGATGGAAAACTTTGAATCAATCTGACTGGATGATCTGGTGAACTGGAAAGTGACCTGAGATGACATGATGGGAATTGGAGCTATAGAAATACACTGAATAGAATTTTAAGCTCAGTTAGAATTTAATTCTCTATTGTAAAAAAACAAAAAAATGTCAAAAGAAAAACAGAATATAATCCTGATTACCAGAGATTAATACGAGACTCTGGAATCTCATAGAATAAGACCGATTCGGTAAAGTAAGGTCAACAATTAGAGGTTAAAAGTTCTGCCAAAAGACGACCTCTAATCTCACTATCGCCACGGTGGTGGCAGTATGATGATGTGGCGATGTTTGGCATTTCCAGTGTATTGATGAAATTAAGTGGATCAATGGATGGTGTTGATTTATAGACAGATTGTGAAAAACAATGTTTTCAGGAGGGAATGGAGGATTAGTAGGATTTAAAAAATAACAGTCCAGCAGTTTATGGTCAGAGTTATAATGGGACTGGATAAAGTTTTTTTTTTCTTGCTTTTGTAAACATGAGATTGAAGGATCCTTTATCCAGGAGAATCCCTGCAGGCTGTAGAAGCTCCGTCGGCACAGACTGCAGTTTAAACGGGAGCCAGTCGGCATGAGAAGGAGACTGGATTGCAATCAGAATAATCTCGGTTAGAAACGTTTCTCCTGCAGCTGCACAATTCAGAGATGTTTAAACTTTAATCCCTGGTTTCCTCAGCAGTCATGTGTTTCGAACATAAGATCAGGATCCTTCTGAAAACGGCGGAAACCTGAGTGAACAGGCGGGTAGCAACTGGAAAACCATGTAGATGGAAATAATACCACCAAGTCTGCCTCTCTAGATCAAAACTGATGCTTGTAGATTTACTGGCTTTTCTTTGACAACAAGCGGATTAGTTTTCTTTAACCTGACAATCAGAACCCCATAAAATCCTTTTGTTTTGGGGTCTTAACACCAACTTTCCACCACTGTTTGATTGAGATTTGCTCTTTCCTCTCTCAAACCGTATTTAACCAGAAACCTTGTGCAGCGTGATCCGGATCAGAAGGGCTGACGGCATGCAGACAGACACCTTTTGGTGTTTCCAGACTCCAGCAGAGAGAGCCTGAGCAGCAGCAGACCGTTTCTGGGTCAGAACCATCCGACGTGAACATTCCAGCTCCCTGACACAATGGAGATGACTTCAGCCCACCGGCCTGCAGATCCAACCCACCTCTGCTCCAAAGTGAGATGGATGACCAGAAAGCATGGAGCAGGGCGATTACATCACTGACAGCGCCCCGGAGGGCTGATGTTACCAGGCGTTACGTAAAACCCAGACTTTTTCCGCTAAACAGCAGGAAAACGGCTCTGACTCAGCAGCACAACTTTACCAACTGAAAGCAGATTTAACTGACAGGTTTCCACTAAAAGGTCAAACTGTACAGGAACAAGAATCACAGCTTGAAGAGCAGATCAGGCCGGGGGGGGGGGGGGGGGTTACCATTAGGCAATACTAGGCAGTTGCTTAGGGGGCCCCCAAAAAAACTCTGTTTCCATGTATGATTAATACGACTATTCCTTATTTTTGCACATTAATTATGTTTTTAATAAAAATCCTTTCACTAAAATGCCATCAGAACGCTGATAATATTAAGCGTGTCTCAGCCCCCCCCTTCAGTGTCCACCATATTGGATCAGTCCATTTGCTGCACATGTTCAGAAAGGTCCAAACAGACAGCAGCAAACCATTTGAAAACAAACCATGCAAAGAGCAGTGTTGCCAACTTAGCGCTTTAGTCGCTATATTTAGCCACTTTTCAGACCCCTCTAGCACTTTGATTTCTAAAAAGCTCCTAGCGCCAAATCTAGAGACTTTTTTCTGCTACTGGAGACTTTGGAGACAACATCTAAAAGCAGCGAACTCTGCTCTCCAGAGCGAGTAGATTGGTAACCCCGCCTCCTGCTCTCCTCTATCTTGTCTGCTGTCATGATTCATGCAGCTATTATTTCATCCAAATGAAAAATGGAGAACAGATAAGCAGATCATGGCTTGTCTACAGTGAAAAGAAGGACTGGGTTATTTACTTTGGCCTTTTTGGAAACACAGGAAGGAGCAATCAGCTAAGTGAGCTTAGTGCTTGGAAAAAATCTTTCATTCCTTTAGAGACAGCATGAAAAGTCAGCTGAGTACAAAACATAGAGAGGAAAACAAGAAGAAAAGGGACAAGAAGAGAGGGACACAACCTAGAACAGATAATGGATGTCTTCTCTATTCAGAGGGCCCCCTGCCTGTCTTTGCCTAGGGCCCCAAATTTCCTAAATCCGCCCCTGATCAGGCTGAATGTTTCAGGATCAAATGGAGGAAATTTGTTCCAAAAACATGATGATAACTTATAATTATGTGTTTGTCTTTAACTGATAACTCTGCAGGGATGTGAAGCATCTATATGAAAACAGTGGAACCTAAAAGGTGGATGCAGGAGAATTAAAGGTGGTGCCTAAAAGCAAATCATTAAATATTCTCACAATAAATTATTGTTTGAGCTAAAAATAATTCACAGGCCAGTGCGCTTCTGTTTATCATCTCCCTGATCAGGAAACATCCCCAAATATTTCTAACATCTGTCCGCAGATGGAGAGTAAAGGATGGTTTGCTTACAGCAGGAGCGGAGCTGGTGTAAATGGGTGGAAGCCTCTCTCTTTCCCTCTCCACTCCTGACAGAGCAGAATGTTCTCCATCCATCCTCCGCGAGTGGAAAACTTGTTTTTCCTCCGTGGAAAGTTTCAATCCTCTGCTGCGCCTGTGGTCCTGCTTCTCAGAGGGCTGCGCATGTTTCCCCCCCCAGACTTCCGCCTCTCAGCTCCAACATCAGGGCAAAAATCAGGAAGATTCACATCCTACAACAGACGGAGTGAAATCTACCTTCGTCGGACAGGTGAGCTCCCCGTTACGCGCACAGCCTGACGCGCAAACGTCTCCAAATAAACCAGGCGTGCGTAAAGTCTCCCGTGGATCCCTGCGGACTGCGTGGGGTGGAGTTAGTTAGTAAATAAGTTTTAAAGTCTTTAAAGGGGAGTTTTTCATGCGCTTCTTCTGCGCTTCTTTCTCTGCTTTTCTGCGTCGTCGGTCGGTGAGGCAGCCCAGCAGCGAGCCGGCGCCATGTTTGGAGGGGAAGGAGGAGGAGGAGGCGCCTGGAGAGACGCGTCACGAATAGGAGAGATATGGCAAGCCAAGAAGGTCATATTTCGCATTGAATTGTCGCGTTAAGATTGAAGTTAACCCGCAAAAAACGCGCGTTCCCCCGAGATTACGCCGCTTTTTACGCCGTCTTTTACCAACAAGCGCCGCCTTTTACGCGCGTCATGATAGTACCGCAAGACGCGCGTTAAATACGCGCGTTGTGTCGGTCAGAACGCGCGTATTTAACGCGCGTTTTCCTAATATGATAATGATGTCCTTCCTTCTTTTCCCACAGCCAATGCATTTGAACTGGTTGCATCCAATGGCTGATCAAGGCAGCCAGACCAAGAAAGTTCAGCATAGATCTGCTTTGTGGAAAACTGCACAGAGCTCAAAGTTGCAGCATTGCCAAAATTCACTGCATTGCCGTTTCACAAAGACTTAATGTTAGGAATATATCCACTACATACACTTTGCTGTTATTTTGAATCCATTCCATGCCTATTTTCATGTAAAAACGTTTTGCATCGCCAACTGATGTTTTGTATTTACCGGGATTACTAGGAATGTTTCACCACTTATCATCACCGAGAGGCGGCGTAGTGGGTTAAGTAACCACCTTCAATGCGATTTTTTGCTTCGTGGCAGGTTCGAATCCGGCAGAGGCAGTCCGACTTTTCCCTTTATGTTCTTTCTTGTCTCCAACCAAGCCCATTAATTTATTTATTTTTTTCTGAGAATATAATCATAAATGTAGCCTACTTCACTGTTTTTGATCCATCGCCATGCATTCTGTCATGTAAAAACATTTTATATTGTACTAATAAAATGACAATAAAGGGGACACTTGTCTTCCAGAAAATTTGCCTTGTTTTCTGTATATTTTCCTGCATATCACCAACCTTTTCCCATAATGCTTTCTACAGCCATGGAGCAACTGCTGTTAAAATTAAATTAACAGGAACATTTCTTATTAAAAGTGTTATTAGTGCAATGAGAAAAAACTTGCTTAGTTGAGCCAGTGGAGGTTTGATAATCCCCATAGCTCATGTTCTCTGTCTCCTACATATACACACACACACACATATATATATATATATATATATATATATATATATATATATATATATATATATATATATATATATATATATATATATATATATATATATATATATATATATATATATATATATATATATATATATATATATATACTATATTGCCAAAAGTATTTGCTCACCTGCCTTGACTCACATATGAGCTTAAGTGACATCCCGTTCCTAATCCATAGGGTTCAATATGACGTCGGTCCACCCTTTGCAGCTAGAACAGCTTCAACTCTTCTGGGAAGGCTGTCCACAAGGTTTAGGAGTGTGTTTATGGGAATTTTTGACCATTCTTCCAGAAGCGCATTTGTGAGGTCGCACACTGATGTTGGACGAGAAGGCCTGGCTCTCAGTCTCCGCTCTAATTCATCCCAAAGGTGTTCTATCGGGTTGAGGTCAGGACTCTGTGCAGGCCAGTCAAGTTTATCCACACCAGACTCTGTCATCCATGTCTTTATGGACCTTGCTTTGTGCACTGGTGCACAGTCATGTTGGAAGAGGAAGGGGCCAGCTCCAAACTGTTCCCACAAAGTTGGGAGCATGGAATTGTCCAAAATGTCTTGGTATGCTGAAGCATTCAGAGTTCCTTTCACTGGAACTAAGGGGCCAAGCCCAGCTCCTGAAAAACAACCTCACACCATAATCCCCCCTCCACCAAACTTTACACTTGGCACAATGCAGTCAGACAAGTACCGTTCTCCTGGCAACCGCCAAACCCAGACCCGTCCATCAGATTGCCAGATGGAGAAGCGCGATTCGTCACTCCAGAGAACGCGTCTCCACTGCTCTAGAGTCCAGTGGCGGCGTGCTTTACACCACCGCATCCGACGCTTTGCATTGCACTTGGTGATGTATGGCTTGGATGCAGCTGCTCGACCATGGAAACCCATTCCATGAAGCTCTCTGCGCACTGTTCTTGAGCTAATCTGAAGGCCACATGAAGTTTGGAGGTCTGTAGTGATTGACTCTGCAGAAAGTTGGCGACCTCTTCGCACTATGCGCGTCAGCATCCGCTGACCCCGCTCCGTCAGTTTACGTGGCCTACCACTTCGTGGCTGAGTTGCTGTCGTTCCCAAACACTTCCATTTTCTTATAATACAGCTGACAGTTGACTGTGGAATATTTAGGAGCGAGGAAATTTCACGACTGGATTTGTTGCACAGGTGGCATCCTATCACAGTTCCACGCTGGAATTCACTGAGCTCCTGAGAGCGACCCATTCTTTCACAAATGTTTGTAAAAACAGTCTGCATGCCTAGGTGCTTGAATTTATACACCTGTGGCCATGGAAGTGATTGGAACACCTGATTCCAATAATTTGGATGGGTGAGCAAATACTTTTGGCAATATAGTGTATATATATATATATATATATATATATATATATATATATATATATATATATATATATATATATATATATATATATATATATATATATATAAACCACGTCACATAAATGTTCTTTCAGTCTACAATACTTTCAGTCTGCAGATGGCGCCATATAACGGGTAGGCTACTGGCAGAGCAGCAAACAGGTGTTTGCACCAAAGCTGGGGAACAATATAGGCAAGGTGTGTCTCTTTTTCAAGAGAGAACTGGATACTGGATTCTTTCATCTTTTTTATTTATTATGAACTATTATCTATTTCCCACTACCTTTTACCACTAGTCAATACCTTTACTTATGTGTACTGGAACAAGATCCAAATGTGCAAGAGTCTAATTACATTTTCATTGTGGAATAGGAGACAAGGTATGGGTGCAGCACCTTCCATTGGGGGTGTATCCAGAAAACAGGTACTATGTTATTTAGATGTTACATTTAATTTTAACAGCAGTTGTTCCGTGGCTGCAGAAAGCATTATGAGCTTGGGAAAAGGTTAGCGATATGCAGGAAACATACAGAAAACAAGTCAGACAGACACATTTTCTGGAGGACAAGTGGCCCCTTTATTGTCATTTTATTAGCACTATGTAAAAAGTTGTTACATGACAGAATGAATGGCGATGGATCAAAAACAACAGAGAAGTGGGCTACATTTATGGATTATATTCTTGGTTAGAGGCAAGAGAGAATATCAAAGGCATAGGTTTTAATTCAGCTTTGGTAGGGACACTCTAGGCTAAAACAGGCGAAACTTCTGACTGCAGTTCTATGAAGAAGCAGGAGATAGTTTGGATTTTTGGAACTTGAGAAATGAAAGTAACCAAAGTTAGGATTTCTTTTATAAAACAAAATATTCTGAGTCAGACAGGAGTTTTGAAAACTGCTGTCAAAATGAGCAGTCTGTAATCTATCAACATTTCTGATTCCCTTTCACCAGTATTTCTTTTCTATTACTGTTTTCTGTTTTTTGACGGCAGTTCAGGTGTATATAAAAGCTGTTAATTTATTTTGTAGAACATAACAACACGAGAAGGATGCTGACGTTCTTCTATTTTTTTGTTTTCCACATAAAAATAGTTCTATTCAATTGATTCTACTTCTAGAAATAGGATAAAGACACACAGAGGAACTCTATTTACACTGATTCTATTTTTCTAGATTTCCACATGGTCCATAAGTAAATTAGTACATTAATCTCTGGTAAATAATGCTTGAATCTGGCTGTTTATTTTGGATACTATTACATTACAGATAATAATTGTTTAAAGTGATTTTATATTTTAATAAACTTTGGCTGATTCTTAGTGTTGTGTTTGTAGATGATGCCACTAAAAAAGAAAATAGACATAAGGAGCTTTTAAACAGCAAGCAATATAGGATGATGATAAAAGGTTGTTACATTTAATCCTTTACTATTATAGACGCACTTGTATAATAGAAACATTATATGATTGTAGGAAACAGATATAATGATGCAGGGCAGCCTCAGGGTGAAGCAGCTGCCCTTCACTGCTGCATGATGGAAGAAATGTGTTTGGAATGCTATCATAAAATTAGGGCTGCAACTAATGATTATTCTGCAAATTGATTAATCTGTTGATTATGTTTTTGATGAATTGATTAATATTCAGATCACCCAAAGGTTCCTAAAAGTAGATTTTTTTACGAAATGACCCCAGGTGAAACAGAAACGTTTCCTCTTGAGGAGTTCTGGATGGAGAATATTGACAGACTAAAAGTTTTTTTTGTCTTAAATGCAAAATGTTTACATATTTTTTCATAATCTTGGTATAATTCCTGCTCTAAGTGGGTCGCTCTATTGGCTAAAGGCACATTTTAGTGGCTCTATACTCCAGTTAATTATTAATCAATTACTAAATCAGTTGACAATTATTTAAATTATTGATAGATATGATTAATTGTTTTAGCCATAGAAAAAAAATTATGAAATGGGCTACATAGACTAACTACAGCCCAGATGTACAACTTGTATAGTGAAGTTAATATTTCAAAATGCTCAGTGTGAGTTCCTCTTATAGTTCCAGTGCACATGTAAATACAATACATTTATTTGCCGTCCGTTGAATGTATTATTTTGCATGACACAGAGAGAGCATATTACATAAAAAAATAAGAGTGGGTTTCACCTGTTTACCTCTGCACAATTATATATCTTCAAAAGAAAACCCAAGATACGTCAACATATAACAGGCATATTTAGATTATATTTGGTTAAATAGGAATGTATTTACCTTCTGTCTTAGTGGCTGGTAAGTTTAAATGCAAACATTTTCAAAGTGGAAAAAAGTCCTAATTGCACATTGATCAGAGCCAGTGATGCTTCAAACATTGCTAAATAGCATCTAGTGAGTGTAGTGCTTATAAGATTTGTATTAATCTAGGAAGAAATTATGCTGTTCTCTTTAAACACACCAAAGCCTGATGCTCACATTAAGCATAAAAAAAGAGTATGCATCTTTTTGCAAAGGACCAATGACAT